ATCTAAACCTCCCCACTTTCAATTTAAACCCATTAGCCCTTGTCCTGTCACTACAGGCCCTTGTAAAAAGTCCCCTCCAGCTTCCCTGTTGGCCCCTTCAGGTACTGGAAGGCTGCAATAAGGTCTCCTCGGAGCCTTCTCTTCTCCAGGTTGAATAAGCCCAATTCTCTCAGCCTTTCATCATAGGAGAGGTGCTCCAGCCCTCTGATCATCTTCGTGGCCTCCTCTGGACTCGCTCCAAGTGGTCAATATCCTTCTGATGTTGAAGGCTCCACAGCTGGAAACAGTACTCCAGGTGGGGTCTCACAAGAGCAAATTGCCTACTCATGTTCAATTTTTAATCCATCATTCCTTACCCTTTCCTCTGTTTTAGAAGTCTAGAGACATTTATATGTCCCTAGATGATTTCTATTTGCTAAGTATACGGTAGTTCCTCTCTCATGCATAGGCTCCTTGTCATCATAATTTTTACTTTTCATAAACTCTTCTGTATCTTTGCCGTCATTTCATCACATTCCATTAATACTTTCCTGTTCCTGACCCTAAGTAACTCTGAAAATTCCTCAGGCAGAATGTGAAAATTCTTCAGGCAGAATGTCATCCCCATGGGTCAAAAGGGGCCAAAGGTCTTGATAAGTGTATGTAAGACACAAAATAAAACCTTACTTGAATAGTGAGCTCCTCGGCATATGCTGGGATAGAGGAGACCATATCCAGGACAGTAACAATTGCGCCTACGTTTGCAGGAGAACTGGTGTTTAGCTCCTTTGCTGTCTGATCCTTAAGCTTTGCAAGGTAGTTAGGTAGGTTTGCTGTTGGGTCAGGACTGTTGACCAAGGACTGGAACAGAAGAAAACAGTATATCACATATGCAATTTCCCTAGAGCTTGATCCTCCTTTATAATGGCTACCCCTAAACTAGGACAATAAACAGAGCCAGGGTCATTCTAGGCATGTTGGTAGTGTTCAACGTGCTGACCCTCCAGACCAGGGTGTCTTAACTTCCTTTTGAGTGTGGTCTGTTGTCTGTGCTAACTCACAGACGGCTCCTGGAAATGTTAGGGGAGAAAATAATTGGTGTGGGCCCAAAGCATATTTGGGAGCAATGTAGCAAGTAAAAAAATACATAATTCAGTAGCTGTACCCTTGCCTGGGACCTTGCTGTGCCTAATTTACTAAAATAAACCTATTAAGTATTTGATGAAAGAAAGATAATTGTTCCCCTCTAACCTCACTGAGAGAAGGGTGACTGTGGGTGGTCTGTAGAAGCAAAGAGCACCACGATAGGATACCTAGGCTGAAAGCCGTGGCCCAGCCCCTGTGATGTGTAGTGGCTGACGGGGCACGCTAAGCAGGGGCTGGGTCTGAGGTTGGGTGTTGTCCCAGAGCTGTCTCTACCGCATCATTGTTAGTGTGCTTGGTGGTATGGTTGGGGCTTGTACCAGCGAGCGTTCACCCCGGCAATGCCTGAGCATGGTTCAGGGAACACCACAGGCCAGCAACTTCTCCCTTATGAATAAGGTCACCTTGTCTGAGGGAGAGAGTGTTCCTGTGTATGGGTGTTACCAATGCAGTGCCACGTGGCCTCTGGGCCACAGAAGGGGACCTGGCCTCTTCCACTGACTTGTGCAGATATAGCCAGTTGTTCTTTATATATTTTAAAAGGTAGTTTTAATTCAATATTTGATTTTTTTTAAAAATGTAACATATATTTTAGATCATGTTAAGCAACAAACCACCCAACAAGAAGTTTTACTCTTTTCTAATCCCTGACCACCTCTAAAAAACACATACACGTTACCTCAGCACTAGTCAGCAGGTTACTTATAGGTACAGACAGGCAGGCATCCTTTTTGATCTTCCATTGTTTGTTGGAACACTCGTAAGTTCTATTGCCTCGGGTAAGGCCATCTGTACTCTTTGATCCATTGCATCCCCTTATTAATGTGTCCCCTTCTTTTCCAATGCCAAGGCTGCCTGAGCAGGAAATGCTATTTCCTGTATTGAGAAAAAGCCATACATGTAGGAAACTGAGAAGCAGGGAAATAAATAATTTGCCTCCATCAAACTTGTGACCGCCTGGAGTCCAGAGGTCTTTAAATTAGTTAGGGTTTCTGCTTGCTCTCTTCATTAATCATGATCTTTCAAGGTATGTATGTCTTGCATTCCCAAGTTGGTTTTTTTAGTTACGAAATTAAAACAGAAATTGAATAAAGCCCCTTGTTTTTAAGTACTGAATCAAATCAACAAACCAATACCCAAAGTTTTAGCATTTGTCTGTTAGATTACAAGGTTAGATAGAGGTGGAGTGGGATTATATTGATCACTACATGAACAGCAATTCACACAAAATTTATTCTGCTTAGGGACTCAGTGCTGCTCTAGCACTAATAGGAAATTATCACAGAATCTTAGAATCTTTTAGGTTGGAAAAGACTATTAAGGTCATTGAGTCCAACCATTAACCTAGAACTGCCAAGCCCACCACTAAGCCATGTCTCTAAGCACCTCATTTACATAAGTCATTAAGTCCTTGATAGTGAAGTCTCAGGACCTTTTTGATGAACAGTGAGTCTTGCTAATTGGCTTTGATTTTGTTAGTCACATCAGTAAGTATCTGTTGATTAAAGTAAAAAAAGTGTTCACATATTTAGTGCCTAAGAGAGTGAAATCAGGCCACAACCAATGATTAAACAGCAGGCACGACTGTGGTGGAAAAACCCCAAAATTTCTGCGATATGGGGATGTCCAACATTTATATCATTATATCATTTATATCATTTATATCATTTATATCTTTCCAATTTAAAATAAGAAGCTGAAATATCCAAACCCTGGTCAGACCTAAACATCAAAATTGGATTTAGAAACGTTGGAATCAAATCACCCAGCATTTCCTGCAGAGGTGACTGAAAGCTGGGTCTGCCCAGGCCTCTGCAACACCTCATGGAGGTTGCTCTTCTTGTGTTTAAAGTGGATATGCTCAAACACAGACTGACCTCCTGAGCTATGGGACTTCTTCCTGAGGCACCACAATCTTTTATCCTTGCTAAATTGTTGGTGCAAGCTGAGAACTGCATGACCACATTTCAGCACTAGAGACAAAGCTTGGTGGTGAAGGCTGCACCAGAAGGAATTAGGGACAGAGATGACTGAACTGTGAATGCTTGGGAAGATAGTGGGGCCATTGTTAAATACAATGAAGACAAAATATCTTGTCTATTTATTTTTTAAAATTTCAGCAATACTGATATTTTACTCTGTATTTCAAAACTTCCTGTCAAAAAAGGAGACCAAAATTATTGGCTTACAAAAACTTCTCCTGTTAGGGGTCACCAGTGATAAATTTGTGACCTCTGATTTAACATAGATACTGGGATTTCCTATGTAACAGCTTTAAATAGTAACTTTTTTCTTACCATCTATCAGATTCAGTTTTATACTTTCACTGTAGACTTTCTGTCCAAGGCGGTTAGTAAAGTTGCAGTATGCCGTGAGCTTTGTGTCTGCTTTGCATTGTTTTTCTGTGTAATTGCACACATAGCAAAATGCGTTATCTTCTTTCTTTTCCCCTGTACGGAAGGATTACAATAGGTTAACACAGATTTGGGATAAATCAGATAGCAGACAGCAGAAAGCTGCTGCGAATTTTTCTTTTCTGTGGGTCCTAGAGAAAAAAAAATTACTTTGTAGTGTCTCTCTCTCATGCCCTGCTTATTAAACCTTCTGGCAGCTGCTGCATGATCAGTACCTTTTCAATTACTGTTGTATGAGCAAATCCTGACCAAACCCTCTTTTACCGTGCAGAACCCAAAATCTGGTCTAGAAACCATTTCGGAGACTACTCTTATGCTTCTACCACAGGCATTTTATTTAGGCTAGGGTACCTTTTTTTGCAGTTCTTACATGGTTCTTTAGAACTCAGGATCTGTAGCACACACCTATTGCTTTTCATTATGCCTGTGCGTGACGGTCCCTGAGTACAATCTCTTCCAAGAAGATCTTGGCATTCTTCTTAGCAACTGAAGACTCAGTCTCCACCTGCTTTACAATTCAGCCTGTGGTTTTTGCACTCCTGCATGTTTACGGAGTTAGTTTAGGTGGGTTTTCATTTCTTTTCAAATGAACTGTTTTGTAACCCACTTGAAAACTTCCAGCGTATAAAAACATGCCAGGGAAGTTGCAGAACTGCCCTAAATTTGAAGGGATAGAAGCTTAGGCTTTTGGGCTGCTAAAGATATGTTACCTGTATCCTTAAAGAAAATAGTTCATTGAATTGCATTCTTAATGTGTTATTCTACATTTTTCATGAATTATTTGATCTTCTTCAGTAATATTTCATAGAATCATAGAATCATAGAATGGTTTGGGTTGGAAGGGACCTTAAAAGGAGGCCTTGATACTCAGTATTTCGTTGATACTCAGTTAAAAAAAGTGGCAGAGTGGAAGATAAAAGCAAATAAATGGAATGCAGCAATTTTCAATCTGAACAATGATGAGGATGCTCACTCCTCGCTGCCTGGCAAGGCAAACCAAACATTGAATTTACCTCTAACATATTTATCAATGCAGCAGTGACTTCAGTTCCTCTTCTATTAAGCTTAACCATGCTCCCCAGGCTTGGCAACCATCCTAAAAATAGTTCATTTCCCCCCCCCCCCTTTTTTTTTTTTACACTCTCAGGAATACTTGTGGGTGGTTGTAATCGCAGTAAATATTAATTGGTTACATGGACCTAAACCAAAAAACACCCAGGGACTGGGTTGAGACACATAGTGGGATCAGTGATTCTGCAAATTTATTGTTTATTACCAGTTTTCTGTATCTGCTGTTGAACCACAAATGTAACATTGTAATCTTCCATGGTGTTAGCATTTATGCAGCACTTAAGGACTTGTGATACTCCGCACTGTATAGTTGCTTCAATGGGGTCTCTCAGGATGTTCTGCTTCAGAGGCAAGGAAACAACCTCGATTGTCATGTTGGCAGAACTCTCCAGGTGCTCATAGGAGAAAGTGCAGATGTAGGTGCCTGAAAAAGAGAGACACAAAAGCCACGTCTCAGTCAAAAGAAGAGCTCCTCTGCTTTTGTATGGTCATGAGCCCTAATAACGAACAAGTACAGTGTTGGTGGTAGCATCATGTCTTGCTGTCCTCCAGCAGTTATAATTTTACTGTAGCCAGGCTTCACAGTGATTTGCAGGCCTAGAGATGCTGTAAATAGTCTGGTACGGAGATTTCATTGCCTTTGTAGCCAATAAAAACCATGTTCACTCACCGTTCCAGTCCTTTGTGACATGGTCCACTTTGAGCTCAGATGTGGCTGTAGAGCTGCTATTTTTGATACACATATCACAGTCTACTGTTTTTATGTTATTTCCAGACTGAATTTTCCAACTGACACTCTCATAATTTCTCATATCACTTTCACACTTTAGGTTGAATGAATATCCCTCGGAAACAGATGAATTTGTGCTTGAAGATATTGTTACACTGGCTGAGAAAACACAAGATAAATGTTATGAGTGTCACTTATTATAATGACTTGCTTGCAAATGACATGCCGCAGAGGCACCTACACATTAAAGAGTTGATGGTTTGTTGCATACTACCTGACTCTTACCTGCCCAGAGGTACATCACGCTGATGTTTTTACTGCTCTTGGCACCATATCCAGTCTGCAGCTCACATGTATACGTCACTACTGTACCTGACTTCTCAGGCTGACATAGTGATTTGCTGATGTTGACCTTGTATTCAGTGCAGTTTTTACTGAAATTGGAGACTCCTAGAGAGAAATAAACATTCCTTGAAGGGCTATGGGTGTCTCAAAATAGCTGGGCTCTGGAAATCACAAGTCATCATGTTAGTTAAGGAAAACCTTGTGGGTTTGTATGTAACCTTTGACAGCATGGCGCTTTTAATTCATCATTGTTAAAGCTCTTTTGGATCTTTTACTCTGGCAACACTCACAGTGGTCTTCCAAAGGCCTGAAGATGGCTCCCAGAACAGTACTGGGCACATACTGACAAAACCAGTCTAACTGAGAGCAGCAACTTTGCTTGGATATGTCAAGGTAAGCCAAAACAAAAGGTATTCTGGTTCAGCCTAACCTCATTATCTGCAATATTTAGGATGAATAAGATAAGTAAACCAGGAATAAACACTGCAGATTTTAATGTCAACTTATTTTGAAATAAACATTTGAAGGTACTTGACAGTCATTCAACTTTAAATCTGAAGGCTGCTGGCTTAGCTTTAAGGGAAAAACCCCACTAAAGCTGTAGCTGAAAGTGCATCTGCAATGAGAACAGAGTTCTTGAAGGAAAACCTGGACACAGGGAATCAAGGGCAAAACAGCTTGTTACAGCAGGCCAGGCTCACCCCTCTCCTTGCAGGCACTGCTGCACACCAGTACCTGCCCTCTGTGGAAATGACTGTTCACATGAGCTTTGGAGATTTTCTCTCATTCTGCCGTCCTGCTTTCTGCTAAATTTCATTTATAACAAAGAGTTAACAGTAAACAGTTAATCCACATCAATAAAGTATTGACTATCACTCATCCTTGCCCTCAAAACTAAAGAATGCAGAAATAAACTATTTGGAAAAAGTTAGCATGATGCTGGTCCAGGCCGCTGTTTCCATCCAGGATGGCACAGCTTTGAGCATCGATGTCTGCACAGTGCGTGGAGATGCACAGAATCCCACTGGCACCTGCACAACACACATGGAGTCTGTACCATGCTGTCCATCCATTGTCTTTCCCATACACACACACACAGCTTTGCATCACACCCTGTATTGACCTCAGGACTTGGCCTTTGGGGTAGCCAGTTAGGAAGAGGTCTTTGAAGAATGAACAAACGTAGCAGGTGAGAGACAATCTTTTGTTAATCTTACCTGTAATAATAATTTCTCCATTTTCTTTCCAGTTACCAGTAATCCGTGGTAAGTGTCTGTCAGTACAACAGGAGAGCAGCGGACCGTCTGACTCTGTCATGCCTGTTTCCTGACTTTTGCATGTAACATTGATGTTGTTTAAGTTCGAAGTGATGTTTAACGAAGAAACTGCTATTATTTTTGTTGCCTTGTAGACCACTGTGTAACTGGAAATTCTTGTTGTGAAAGTACACCCATAGGGACCTGTAAAGCATAGGCAATATCTTATCACTGAGAACAGGCAGGGTGGAGAATGGATAGA